AACAAATGAAATGGTGATACCGTACGCTGTAGAGTTCAAAAGAAGACACATGTCATCAGGAAGACACGCAGACCGAGGAGGACTGCATTGATGATAAGCAGGAGCCAAGTAAGCCGGATGCGTCACCTGCCCGTGAGCCCCCCGTAGAGGCGAAGCTAGATACATTTCAAGATTTCAAGGTTGTAACCACTAGCTACGGGAAATTCGAGTAAATCTAGGCTAAATTTGCGCACGGATTGACCTTGATCAAGTTCGGACGCAATTCTGTGGCAAAGCGACGCGTTTTCGTCTTCGATGCCAGATCGGAGACATTCACTTGGAAGGTAAGCCGAACTTGCATGATGATTGTCATAACATGCATCTAGGTTCCCTCGGAAGCGCCCAAGAGGAGTCGCTTTGTACGTCCTCCAGTGTCAACAAGTTTTTTGCTAGTTGTAACTATATTGTCATTCATTTAGGCCCCTGCGAAAATCCCGGTCTGCATAGCGTCATTTTTCTGTGGTTGTCCTCATTGGAAACTGGTTGTCTAGGTTTACAAAATTACTGATATTCTCAAGGCAAGCACGCACAATTGCAGGGCGACTAGATATCGACAGTTCACAGGTCCGCACAGCGCTTGAACCTGACCCTAAAGTTCCAACTTTTGGGGGTGCGGTTGCACCCATATTCTCTTGGCAGTTGTGTGCATAGGAACCGAGGTTCTTCGCCGTGGTCTTAATCCTAAAGAGGCCTCAAAGGCATTCATCTTGGATATGGCTGATAATCGTACCATTGATCTCGTGTGTGATCACACGGCCCTGCGACGCCTAATATCTGACTCCTAGGTTGCATCATCAGATGCCGAGGCAAGGGAATATGTAGAGGGCCTCAAACAGCAAAAATCTGTGCATGCGATAAACTTAAATGCTCCATGATTGCAACCACCAGTGACTTTAGGCTCATAGCTGAAGCTTCTAGTAGCTGACTTGCATCCATGGGTCCAATGCGGCAATAATTCGCGCAAAAAGCAGCGCACGACAGGGGTGGGCGAGAGCCTCTAGCACAAGGCTGTTTTTTTTTGGCCCTTGGAGCAGCATAGATGCCTGCCTCTCCATAGTTGGAGCAGCATTCCGCGGAGTGCAAATAGACTGTCAGAAGGACGTCCGGGCGAGGTGAGAGGCGCGGTGGCGGTTCGACCTTGATAAAGCGGCAAATATCGCCATCAGAACGCGGGGTCCGTTCACGGTCGGCCCCCCTGAGTAGCTGGGATTAATTCCCGGATGGCCCCGGTGGGGGTGTACATATGTGCGTTCGATCGACTCCGCTGGGCCCAGCGGACGTCCTGGGTCGCGTCCGCGCAAGGAGACTTCAGTCTGATTTCTCCGGGAAGTGGTACTCCGACTCGCCGAGTCGGTAGAGTAGTTCGCCGCAGGAACTCGGGGTCAGAGATCCTGAAACTTCAGTCCATCTCGTGGGGGAACACGCAGAAGCTGAGGTCTCTGTTCCCCGCCCCCCAGGGTTGTGTTTTTTAGCCCCACCCCCGGGCCTTGGGGGGGGTTTTCGGGCTCCCAGGCGACCGGACCCCCCCC